AAGTTCTTCTCATGTTTCAGTTTAATTGGAATTTCCTGGGCTGACAACTGAGGGTGAATGTCTGGAACTATCTGCTAAGGAATACCAAATCCAGCTGTATTTTAAGTGTCTGTAGCTGCAGAATCAATAGAAGGTTGGCATAGTTTTGTATTGCTATGAGTAGAAAAATGATAGTTCTGTATACACTGTGGAACAAGAGGTAACTGCTCAGCCTGGGCAGGGATCATTAAATAGGCAGAAAAGTATTCATTAGCTAGGGCAAAAAATAAATCTACTAGAAATAAATAAATCAAAATATGGTGTCAAAACAATACCAATTCTGCACGTCAAATAAATCATAGAAACAATACAGTTTCTGTATTGATTATTTTTTCACAAACTTGGTTCTGAAAATTCAGAAAGCCCTATGGAGCACTGAAGCTTCACATTGTGGCCACAGACATCAAGTTTAGTCTCTTGGGTTTCTGTGATTTCACCAGATGCTGGCTGAAATGCTTTTAAGCTTACCTTAGTCATCATGAGAACTAGAAACTTTCAAGTTTTGTTTCTAGCTTTTATGGTAGTTTTGGTTTTCTTCATTTTGTTTTGTTTTTAAATGAAAGCTGAGATTCTCAGCATATCAATTTCTACACGAGATGCCAAATCCCATACTTTCACAATGGTGCAGTTTCAAGAGATTCAACATTTTTAATGTAAAGGTCCATCCGCACAGGTAGTGCTCAGCATTTATAGCTGTATCATTTGTCTGACCCTCATGTTGCATACATTTCTTTATATGAAGTCCTGAAGGCTAGCCACCCTCCAAGATAAATCTAAAATAACTCTGTCCTAGGAGTTTCCTGCCATTTTCATAACTGTGAGCATATGAATTGTAGCTCATGTTGAAAAATGCTGCAGGAAAGCTGCCAAGAAAGATCTAAGCAGTATTACCAATGCTGTTTCATAACCAGTCACAGCTGCTGTTGATCTGACAGCATCTGCCATAGCTTTTGCCTCTCTTCCTTGTGGAACTTTGTTTCTAGAAAGGAAATAATTATTGTAAACCATTTAGTCTGCAAATACGGAGACTATTTTCATAGAGCTAGATCTGGCCTATTTTGACACCTACCACAAGGTTTATTTTCTAGAACTGTTGTCCCCATGGCAATGAGGTGGTAGTCAGCTGTTGTTATCCTACAGAAATCTGGAACACAGCTGTCCCATACATATCCTCCACCATCTTTTTGTGTGACTGAGAGCTGGCCCCAAACTGTAAGAGCAGGCCAGTCTTACAATAAACATTGAATGCCTTTTGTGTCCAGAAGTGAGATTTTCTATGCAGCCTGTTACTTTCCAGAAATGAATTTTATTTATTTCTTCTTAAACTTGCAAATGATGGCAAGGAAATATGCAATAATTACTATGATAAGTCTCTGCTAGGAGATCCTAAGCCATTTAGGACTTTTTATGTTAAAAGAACCTCTTTAAATTGGGCTTGGGAGACAACTGGTCACCAATACATTTCATAAAGAATTGGTGTTATGTGGGCCCATACACCAACACCAGATATTAATTGTGTTACCTGATTCTGTACCAGTTGAAGTCTCTGGACCATCTTCAAAGGCAGCCCCACATAAAGCATATTATTACTTTCATTTGCTATAAGCTTTGGATCACTTACATGGAAAGGCATATATCTCAATAGAACATGTGGAATCTTTAGGGCCAGCGCTGTGGTCAGAAGGCCACCACAGGCAGCAGATCAGTAATTTGGTGTTAGAGAACAGGCTGTCATGTGCAGTGTTGCCTGCCTGCTGCCCTCAGATAGAATAGAAGATGCTGTCTGGCTATAATAAGCTTCAACTGCTAGTTGTTTTGTTTTAAGCAGGAAAATGTTTTGTGACCTCAATGAGGTGCTTATTTATTCACTAACAATAAGTTCCCTCTGGATCTGTGTCACTTAAAAGTGTCTGGTGCACAATAGCTTTGGTGACGCCCACACATTTAAGAAGCTACATTTTTGTAGCTTGCCAAAGCTATGGATAATTCTAGAATCTTCTTTCAGATGAGCAGAGGATTGGATGAGAAGGCCTACAAGGCATCCTCCAGCTCCATGATTCTTTTAGGAAGCTTCAAGCTGATCATAAAAATCTTACTTTTTATTGACTGGATAGTGAGGACAACTTAAGCTGAGAGGTCTAGTTAATGTTATACATTTTTAGTGACCTTGAAATTATACAAAAACAGTATCAGAAATAAATTTCTCTCGCTCTTTTCAAAGTATAATTTAAGCTCTCAGGTTTCAATCCTTTGTTATAAAACAGAGTGAGCATATATTCAAATTAAAATTGAATATACGCTTACTCTGTTAACTGTATTGTCTTTTAGGATTTTGAGTAGCTCAGCTGGAATACCATCACCTCCGCTAATTTTATTGTCACTAAGGCTTCCCAACTCCCATTTGACTTCACATTCCAGGATGTCTGTCTTGAGGTCAGCAACCACCCTATCTTTAAGATCTTTCTTGCATAGTTCTTCTGTTCATTGGGGTGGTTTATTTGCTACCCCGTCCATAATCCTATCAGATCTAATTCCTTAAATCTATTTGTCACCTCTACTCTAAATTTATAAGGACTATGATTTAGGTCATACCCGAGTGACCTAGTGATTTTCCCTACTTTCTTCCATTTAAGCCTGAATTTTGCAACAAGAAGTTCATGATCTGAGCCACTGTCAGCTCCTGGTCTTGTTTTTACTGACTGTATAGAGTTTCTCCATCTTTGGCTGCAAAGCACATAGTCAATCTGATTTCTGTGTTGACCCTCTAGGGTCCATGTGTAGATTCGTCTCTTGGGTTGTTGGAGTGTTTGCTATGACCAGCTTGTTCTCTTGACAAAATTCTGCCATCCTTTCCCCTGCCTCATTTTGTACTCCAAGGCCAAACTTGCCTGTCATTCCGGTTATCCTTTGACTCCCTACTTCAGCATTCCAATCACCCATGATGATAAGGACATCATTTTTGGTATTATGTCTAGAATGTGTTGCAGATCTTCACAGAACTGGTCAACTTCAGCCTCTTTGGCATCAGTGGTTGGGACACAGACTTGGACTACTGTGATTTTGAATGGTTAGCCTTGGATTTGAACTGAGATCATTCTGTTGTTTTGGAGATTGTATCCCAATACTGCTTTTCCCACTCTTTTATTGACTTTGAGGGCTACTCCATTTCTTCTGAGGGATTCTTGCCTGCAGTAATATACCTGATGGTCATCTGAATTAAATTCACCCATTCCTGTCCATTTTAGTTCACTGATTCCTAAGATGTCGATGTTCAGTCTTGTCATCTCATGTTTGACCACATCCATATTACCTTGATTCATAGATCTTACATTCCAGGTTCCTATGGAGTATAGATCTTTCTTATAGAGCATTGGACTTTCCTTTCACCACCAGATACCTTTGCAAATGAGTGTCATGGAATAGCTCATAGCTTCATTGTGCTCTGCAAGCCCCTTCACCATGGCAAGGCAGTGATCCATGAAGGGGTTGGAAAGCATGACAGAATATTATTTGTCCATTTGCATTAATGAGGTCTTGCCAAGTAAATGCTTTTATATTTTACTCCACATAAAGTTGGAACAACCTTACAGAATAGTTGGAGAGTTTGTTAAGAACATAAAAATAAATCATAGTGTTCTAATGTTTATGTGTTGGCATAGTCTGCTATATATAATAGTAAAATGACCTTTCTTGATGCATATAAGGTTATCCAATTTAACCAATGGAGTTGCTCTTTCCCTCTCTGTTATCTCTTACTATTTATGCTGAATGAGTGGAACATATTTCTACATGTACTTTTGGGGTACCAGTATATCTGACCATCTAGGGCCATCTGCTCATTTGTATGCATTTTTTTAAAAATATATAGTTCCTTTTGGATTGACTACAGAATTCCAGGAATTAAGCAGGATTGTTTCTGCAAAATTCATAAAATTATGCCTTGAAAAAAACCCCAATTTTTAAGTGGATGTTAGTACCATTGATACAGATGGGACTTAAGTGTTGCTAGCCATCAAACATAATGGAATCTGTTCTCTCACTTAAAGTTTTATGGGTTCAATATGACCTGAGAATATGCAGAATTCCAAACTTTTAAAGCACTAAACCAAACATGACCTGTATATCTTATATGGGAATTTATGCTCCTTAATTATTTACCTAGAAAACAAACAATTATTCATTATTTCACAATTACAAGTTTAAGAAAAGTTCTTTCACTGGCTCTGCGTCCAGGTGCCTGCCTACCCTACCAGTTGTGGCATTACACTGGTACAAGAAAACTTGTACTCATAATCCCAGGTAGTACTTCATTTTTCATCTTTGCTAAATGCTCCCAAATGAAAATACAGAGAGAGGTTAATTCTGCAGTTTCATCAAATAAGGCTTCGCCTTGGCTGTTTCAGTTTGAGGCAAGTATGGATCCTTCTAGTTTTCTATGTTCTCATTTATTAACATTGCATAATTTCTCCTTCAGAAACAGCTTGTTTCTGAATTAAAAACCAGCCTTAGAAGAAGCAATTTGGAACAGATCAAGAGTATGTACAGGTGCTTAAAACTTGCCCAACACTTTTCCTCTGTAACTTATCTCAAACAAGCCTTTTGGGGAAATTTGGGACTTTGGCAGGAAATTTTGGGCTGGGGGGAAACCTTCTGAGTATTCAGCTTTATCTAGTATCATAAAAAGAAACATTTTATCACCAACTGGAGAAGGGGAGAGGTCATTAAAAGAATTGGTGGAAAATATGACTACCTTGAATGAATCCAAATATATGTCCAGGGTACACATAGTTTGTGCTCTCTCATTCATAGTGCTCATTAGACCAAAGAAAATATTCCTAAATGTTGTTTTAAAGATTTTATACAACTTTGCTTTTAACTGACTTTACTTTGTGAAGAATAATGGTATTATTTATTATTAATAATACAGTACTATATCATCAATTTTTCATATTCGGTTTTAGTGATGAATATGAAGAAGATGGATTTTGTCAGCCATACAGAGGAATAGCATGTGCAAGGTTTATTGGAAACCGAACCATTTACATGGAGTCTCTGCATATGCAGGGTGAAATAGAAAATCAAATTACTGGTAGGTAAAGAATTTTGCCTTCTTCCATTTTCAAGTACAGTTTTGTCATTCTTGATCTTGCTGCAGAAGTAGGCAACTTGTGGTCCTCCATTTTGGCCTATAACACCCATGCTCCTTCAGCATTTACCATGCTGACTAGGGCTTATGGAAATTGTAGGCCATGATCTATGGAGATAGCCCCCCTCCCTGCAAAAGAAAAACATATGGGAAGCTTGCTCTGGATTTAATTTACACTTTTCATTTTTAGTAGAACACACAGTTATTCAGAAAGAAAAGAATTGTGAAAAAGCTACCATGAAAATGAAATTGGTAATTTAAAAATATATAAAAGAAGAATAATTCAGTATATTGTTTCAGATTTATTCTTTACATTTTTATTGTGTATGTGTATTTACAAGTTGTTAACTATATAATATAGTGACTCCAATCCAGAGAAAGTTAATGTTCCTTAAATTCCATTGGTACCAGAGTGATGAATTTGTTTTGAGTAATTCCAGCTCCAGTAACAGTGACTTCAGTGCAATTATCTTGTTCTGTTTTGGACCAAATTTTTCATAAAACATGACTAGTTTCAGACAACACAACAACCCACCATGGTAGTTGAGCATGTCATCTGAACCTGGAGCATTTTCCACAGGGTGGTTTATTCTTCTGGAACAAGCCGCATAGAAATAGCTTGCTGTAGGGTTGTTCTTATCCACATTGGATTGCCTGGTTGTGCAAACCAGGTGACTGATTTTATCATGGGTTTCTTTAATCAGCTGCACACCCATTCAGTAAAAGTAGCAAATAATGCCCATCTTGTGCACTCACCAATCTCACCAATTATTATCCTTCCACCAATATTGAAAAAGCACTTTGGAAGTGCCACTCTTGTTTCCAGCTTGTTAATATTCATCTTTCCATGCCTCAGAAATGCACAATTGGGTTCTTAGCTGTTTTTGTTGGTAATCCATTCCCAAATACACACTTACTGCTATCGGATACCTGACAAGTTAAAGTTGCCTACTGGCTAATCTGCACACAGATGCAAAGGATCAGGGAGAAACATCAGTGAAGGCAAGACGGGACCCAGCAGTAGCACAAGGGACAGCCAAAGGAGTGAGTGCATCAAAAAGGAGGGGCACAATATCCACCCTTGGCTCATAATCCTCTCTCAGGTATAAGTGTTGAAGTAGCAATTCTTAGTGTCTCCACCTTTTCAACACTTCCCCGAGTCTGCAGTTAATCCAGAAACTCCACCGCTCCACCCCAACTTCTGGCAGTTCATATTCAGAGCCCTTAAAGGTGTAGTTCATGCAGTTCTTTCACATTTTTATATATGTATGTATGCATACACATATATGTATGCAAATATAATAGCCAGGAAGCAAATGTAGGTTAAATTTGCACACATTAAATGGCTGAGAAATTAATGGAGAGCACTTGTAGTATTGTGCATCTACATTAACTGCTCTATTTTTTTCATGCACTTTCCACAGCTTTTTTCCTTTTTTTACAAGTGCTTTTCAATTGACAGTTTGGCAACTGATCCCTGATAACTGTGCACAATTTAGCCTATATGCAGGCTTGCCTTACCAGTCTGTTACCTACTCCAATTCCCTATTTTATCTGATAGCTGAAACATAGGAGGAAATTGACCACACAAGACTACGCATATTGGACAGCCATAGGAACACACTTGTACACTTGTGAAAGACTGACAAAAACGAGAAGAAAATTTGTGGACATGATTGTGCACAGTTTTGGAGAATGAAATTCCCCTGGCCCTAGTTATACTTTTTTTAGCCTTCAGAAAAATAACATAAAATAATAAAATAACAAACTGCAGCAAATGAAAAGTTGTCACAATTGGCATGGAGACAGGGAGACAAGAGGAATTCTACTACAGAACTATGCTGATACAGTTCTATTCCAGAGCCAACTTGGAGGGTAGAGGGAAAAACTAGTAAGCCTGATCATCTGATGGACATTTGTTTGTTTGAGTATTTTTACCCTGTCCAATAAGTTGTGGGTCTCTGGATAGCTTACAAGTCAACATCCAATAAATACATATAAACCAAATAATACAAAATAATCCACGACTGAGCATAAAACATAGTTAAAATATTAAACATTAAAATTACAGAAAAATAAAAAGGTCTTGACCTGGCACCAAAAAGCATATAACGTCGTCTCTAGGCAGACCTCTCTGGGGAGTGCATTCCATAGTAGGGGCGCCACTGCAAAGAGGGCCCTCCTCCGAGTATGTTCTCTCCTAATCTCCTTCAATGAGGGTTCCTGGAGCAGGGCCTCTGCTGCAGATGTTAAGGGGTGGGTGGGCATATAGGGAAATAGACGTTCCTTCAGGTATCCTGGTCCAAAGCTGTTTAGGGCTTTATAGGTCAATACCAGCACCTTTAATTGCCCCCTGGCTTCAATTGGAAGCCAGTGAAGCTGATAGAGGACCGGTGTGATATGAGAATAATGACTGGGCCCCGACAGCAATCTGGCAGCTCTATTCTGAACCAATTGAAGTCTCCAGACTGTCTTTAAGGGCAGCCCCATGTAGAGCACGTTACAATAGTCCAACTGGGAGGTTACCAAAGTATGTGTCACTGTTGCTTGGCAGTGTTTGTCCAGCTAAGGATGCAGCTGATGGATCAGCTGAAGCTGACGGAAAGCACCACCTGGGCCTCCAGGGACAGTTCTGGGTTGAGGAGCACTCCCAAGCTGCGGACCCTGTCCCTTAGAGGGAGTGCAGCCCCATCCAGGACCGGGCCAAAATTACTTGCCTAAAAACCTGAACCACCTACCAAAAGGGCCTCAGTCTTCTCTGGATTGAGTTTCAGTTTATTGGACCTCATCCAGCCCATTACCTTGGCCAGTAATCAGTTCCACAGCACATCGGTTCCATAGCACAGGTCCGGTTACTCATCATTACTTATTTGCAGGGTGCAGGATGGCTGGGAACATATCCACTGTCTGCTTTGTAATACGTAATTCTCTGTCCTGTGTAAAGTAGGACTGTACAGTTTGTGAGTCAGCAGATCAGATTCAGCCCCTGAACTGAGGTTCACAAGCCACTGTGCCTGCTAAGTGCTTAACAACTCTCCTGTTGTTGCAGTCAGACATACCCTGTGTATTTATTAGATCTCTGATTAGCAGAATTTGACTTGAAATTATTCTAGAAAAATTGGACTTTTAAAAAGTGCTGTTCTGATCAACAACTTTTACTTCTTGTTGTTCATTTCTTTAGAAGGAGCAATTTGTTAGGATATGTCTAAATGTTACAGGAATGAATTTGCCAATTCACATTACACTGTCTAAACTTGTTTGGTGTGTGTATATTGCAGCTGCCTTCACTATGATAGGAACCTCCAGTCACCTATCTGATAAGTGTTCCCAGTTTGCTATTCCTTCCCTGTGCCATTATGCATTTCCATACTGTGATGAGACTTCTTCCGTTGCAAAGCCACGGGACCTGTGCCGTGATGAGTGTGAAATTCTGGAAAATGTCCTCTGCCAAACTGAGTATATCTTTGCAAGATCCAATCCTATGATTCTGATGCGCTTAAAACTGCCTAACTGTGAAGATCTACCACAGCCTGATAGTCCTGAGGCTATAAACTGTATCCGCATTGGCATCCCTATGGCAGATCCAATCAATAAGAGTAAGTGACTGTTGTAGACTTGAAGTCTCGCATCTGAAAAATATAATCCCTTACACTTTTTTTGGTACATTCCTAGCTAGAGCAATCCTTTGGCTGTAGTCAGGACAGGGATGGGCAACAAAAATGATCAGGGGGCTGGAGCAGCTTCCCTGTGAGGAACAGTTATGAAAAATGGGACTGCTCAACTTAGAAAAAAGGCGAGTAAGGAGAGACATGACAGAGGTGTTTAAAATATTGCATGGTGTAGAGAAAGTAGAGAGGGAGACCGTTTTCTCCCTTTCCCATAACACTCAAACCTGGGATCTTCTCATGAATCTGATTGGTGGGAGGTTTAAGACAGATAGGGAAGTGGTGATGGCCACTAATCTGGATGCTTTCAAAAGAGTTTGAACAGATTCATGAGGGAGGAGGCTATCAGTGGCTACTCGCCTTGCTGACTGTGTGCCGCTCCCTTTACCAGGGGTGGTGTGCCTACCAGTTTCTGAGGAGCTTCGGCAGGAGAAGGTCTTGTACCCATCCTGCTTAAGGGATCCTGTGGCAGCCAGTTTGGCACCTTGTGTACAGAGGGCTGGACTAGATGGACCTTTGATCTGCCCCAGCCTAGCTTTTCTTACATGCTTAGATAGCAGTTAGATAGCCATATGATTTTTCAGATCCAGTTAGGAAGTCAGAAAATCACTCCAACCACTTAGCTGGGGTTCTGTACTTGGACTGCTCCTTGCAGCCAGTATGAAAGAACTGCACAGGCTGCTTCTCCAAGGTAAAAAGGGCAACCTCAGAGAAGAACTTTGGGAGACATTTCAGGGAGCAGAGAGGGGAGGAGACTGGCAGTGTGGAGATACAAAGTATTCTGGCAATGCGTCAGGCTCCTTCTCTCCCTTTTCCAAGAAACCTCTTGTGTTTTACAGGAAAAGAGAAGCACAGAGGCAATTTTAATCTCTGTGTCTCTCTCTCTCCCTGTGAAGTATGTCTGTAATCCTCTGAGTTTGGAGGGGTACCAGCATCTCTATTCATTCCAAAATTCATCTTCCCCATTTTATTTAGATTTTGCTTTTCAACAGCATATTTAGAGCAATGTCTTTCCATCCTGAATTAACAATTCTTATTTGTACTACTATAATATCCATATGCTTATTAACATTCACTACACCAAATCCTTTCTTGTTTAAATAGCCACTATTTGTTCCATTAAAGTAAATGATCGTAGTAGTAAGTAAATACTTCTTAAAGGGCCAAATGAAGTCCTTGTGTGCTATATTAGTAGGCCTACTTCCAGACACTGAGTAAGGTTCATGTTAGATCACAGGCTGGTTAGTGTGAACATAATATCAAATGCTTTTATTTCCAAGATAGCTCAATAACAATTGGGTTTCAGAATTTCTCTGTACATCAGTGCCAAGATAAGGAGTCATTTCAGGGTTACCAGGGCAGATTTGAGTTTGCATCTGTATTGCATTCAAAAAATATTTAGAATGGGGGTAGGGAGATTGTGATTGAAATGTAACCTTTTAATCTTCTCAAGAATATAAACATAGAGCAAGCTCAGTCTTATGGCCTCTGCAAACTGTGGATGTGAATTAGGTTTTAGGATATAAGACAGCAACAGCACCCCATGCTGGAGATACATTTCATGTTCTTATACCTGTCAGTCGCCTGTGTGCATAATACTGTTCTGTTCTGTTCTGATTCCCTGCCTTCTTTCACAGATCACAAATGTTACAACAGCACAGGAGGAGACTACCGAGGGACTATGAGTGTCACAAAATCCGGTCGGCAGTGCCAACCATGGAATTCTCAATATCCACACACACACACCTTCACTGCCATCAGATATCCAGAGCTAAATGGTGGCCATTCATACTGCCGTAATCCAGGGAATCAGAAAGAAGCTCCATGGTGCTTCACCTTAGATGAAAATTTTAAATCGGAGCTTTGTGACATTCCAGCTTGTGGTAAATACAGAATTCTTGCATTTTGAAAAGAAAATAGGGAAATTATTTTATTGAGGCTGCTTTGCAGCATGTGTAGCTTTAGCCCAAGGGCCAAACTACACATGGCACTGGTCACATGTTAAACAAAGTGCTTAATTTACCATGTAGCTTTTATTTGGGAGGAAAAAAGCAGCCACCAAGACCAAATACAGACTGGGGTCCTAAATTGCTTTTCTGCTGAAAATTATCCCCTACTTGCCTCTGAGGTTGCTGCTTATTATAAACAGCACTTTTGGGACCACAAGGTAGGTAAGGGCTTGGACTTCCAATCCAGAGCTGAAGAAGCATCTTTGTACTTTTGGTGGTTCTATACTTGTCCATAAGCTATATTAAAATTGCTTCATACAATTCAATACAGTCTCCCAACCTGCAGTGGTTACAGTTGCAACTTAACACCAGTTTCACACATGTTCTATGGTGTATGTACTTGACTTTCATGAATTTTTAAATCGTCTCTGGGAGTTCTCTAAACATAGTTACACAATAGACCTGCTTTCTCTCTAGTTACATGGAAACAGAGTGAGTCAGAAGGGGTCCCCTGGGCCATCTAGTCTGACCCCCAGCTCTAGCCAGCTCTGCTCACAACATGTCTGGCCTTAGAACTTAGCTTTTTTGTTGTCATTTTTTGGACTTGTAGAACACTCAGAATTGGTGGCATGCTGAATTGGAAACTACTTAATTGAGATACTTTTGACTGAGATAGTGTTAGCTGCACTTTAGAGAAATGATAATTCCTCTTAATTGGCAATGAACTAACTGCACATGTGGAATTAGCCCCGAATCCTCCAGAGGAGCTATTCTAGTGATATCATTGGATGCCTCCTTTTGAATGCATTTTACTACTCAATCCTCTAGAATGAAAATGCATTTGAAATATGGAACAGTAATTAAACTGCAAATCCTAATAGATAACAACGTAAATCTTTTGTAAATACAGTGAAGAAAAAAAACTATCTTGACTGAAATCTACAGCTAGCTTCAGGATCAAGGGTAATATACATCTGAACTGGATTGAATTGTGGAGTTTTCAGAGGTACAGTGGAACGGATAAAGATGTCATTTTAGATTAGAGAGCCATTATGATGTATTAGACTGGGACTCAGGTAATCTGGGTTCTAGTGCCCACTCAGCCATGGAGCCAACTGGGTGACTTTGGGCCAGACACAGACTCTCAGCCCAATCTACCTCACAGGGTTGTTGTGTGAGGATAAGATAATTTTGAAGAGTGGCTGAATGATGTAAAGCCACTTTGAGTTCTTTAAAAGAAAAAAGTTGTGATGTGAAATGTTACAGGTTTTGCTGCCAAAAGTCCAAAAGCCTCTCTTCTTTTTTGATCTGTAAAGATGGATCAGGTGGTTGTTACATTTCCGCTTTTTCTCATCTCTTTCATCAATTTGTTACATGTAGTTTCTTTGACCCAGTAGTTCACATCTTCTTTTCTTACACATCAAGATGCTTTAGGCTAATATTCAGGCTCCCATTTGCCTATTTTGGCAGGGCTTGAGCAGGACCAGTGCTCAGTTTGCTGTACAAAATCCTCGCCTCTTTTGGCAACATGCTTCACTGGCCAGTATTTATTATTGTGCTTTAAGAAAAAGTGTTGGGTGTTGATAGAGATCAACAGTTAGCAATCTAAAAATGACATGTAGTGCCTAGAAGGTTAATGTAGGCCTAGGAGGAAAAACACAGTTATCCAGCTTGAAGAAATCAATACTCTAAATGCAAAGATGCTGTTCAGCATTTTAAACAGGAATTAAGTTCACTTGTTTTGAGTGGACAACTGGTGTCCCAGAATTGGGATGGGAAATGCTATGCATTGCTGCCTTCCCATGTATTACAAGAAGAAGCAACAGCAGGACTCTGGCTTGAAGCTCCCCCTGCTTCACATTTGCTAGTATTCCATGAGGCAATCTGATATTTCATTGTTAATTGAAACAAGCAAGCATGATAACTTACAGTTTAGTACTGGCTTGTTTCAACAAACTGTAGTTAATCAGATAAACCATAATTTGTCCAGACCAAGATTTCACAACAAGTTACAATTGGTTAACAGCAATAAAAACTTCTAAACTCTTCCTAATGGCTATGCTAGTAGGGATGGATTAATGACTGCATATGCTGTATAATTCTATAGCTTAGTGTTGTACTCAAATGAGGCAATAGACTACCAGTGGATGACATGGGTTGAGCTACCACAATAGGGAACTTGTGGCCCTCTGGTTATTGTTGGACTACATTTTATTCATTTATTAAAAGCTTTTCTATCCTGTCCCCTACAGAATGTCTCAGGGTGGCTTAGAATAAATAATTTTCTGTCACCTTTGATTATTGCCCATATTGGCTGGGGCGGATGTTCATTAACAACATCTTGATGCCTAAAGGTTCCCCATCCCTAAAAGACATAAATCAGAGAAACCCAAAATTAGAACTTTTGCTCATGTCTAAAGAAATACAATTAGGAATACTTAAAAGAAAAGTAATACAAGCCAACACTGCAATTCATAGAATGTTAATGTGCAATTAAGAGAATGTAGAGCTGCATATCTTCAAGGTCTTAAACAGCATATCTATTGGCTCTCTATAATAGTATAGGCTATCTGTATAGTTTTTACCTAAAGATATAGCAAACATTCCTTAAAATTTGATTTGGCCAAGGTATTGCATGCCTGTCTGAGCGCCAAAATTTGTTGGCAACTTCCCAGTACAATCCAAAAGTGAGCCAAATTGCACTTGTATGGGATTTATAGGCATCTGGTAGTTGATGGATTATGCCATTAGCAATGCAGATGTTTATTACTGCAAGATTACTTACCTAAGCCCATCTTGTACAGAGAAATAAAATGTTATTTCATTTTTTGCCTTCCAAAACTACCTGTCTGCTAAAAGATAGTAGTAGAAAAACAATTAATTATTCATTTAGTGTTCCTGGGTCCTTTTTTCTCTTGATACCTAATATCTCTAATTGCATGACAATCCAGTTTAGGGGCATATATATCTTTTTGCCTCACTTATCTAAATTGTTACTCAACCACTGACAAAAAAGCATCCTGCAAGCCCCCTGGTGTTTCTCAAGCCTTTCAGAAATACATGAAATCCAACACTAATGTGAACCTAATTATCTGTTGAGGATTTTAAAAGCATTCCATAAAGTTCACCTCATATTCTGTAGCTATTGCATAAATTAATGTATAATCATATGAAAACCTTTTTGGGTTTTGTTTGTTTTTGAGCTAGCATTTCCCAAATAGAATTTGTGGCTGCTCACTAGACAGCACAAAATGCATCCAACTGACCTGAACATAAAGTTAATAAAACACAACTAGCTAGCGGGTATACAGGCCCTGTACAATGGCTACTTATCAAGACATGTAGCAGACTGTGGGAACAGTTAATGCATAAAGACAAAACCAAATCAGAGATATATGTTCCATATGCCTTTATTACGCATAAAAGAACACAGTCTTTCTTTGTGATTTTATGTTTTTCTCCTTGTTCTCTACCCTCTTTTCCCTGAATTAGACACAAAGGATTCCAAGGAAAATAACAAAATGGAAATCATCTATATATTGGTGCCAAGTGTTACAATTCCCTTGGCTGTCGCCTTACTGTTTTTCTTCATCTGTATTTGCCGAAACAACCAGAAGTCGTCTTCTCCTCCAGTACAACGACAACCTAAGCATGTCAGAGGGCAAAATGTAGAAATGTCAATGCTAAATGCATACAAACAGAAGGTACTGCAGGTGTCATCTACTTCATATGCTAATGCCAATTATTCATTACAAATGAGACAGATTTTCCTTTGGTTTTCAGGTTCAAAGATCCTTGATATTTTGCTTCCTTTTGTTTTTATCATTTTCTTAATGATATAGCAGCCCTAGCTGGCTGGATTTGGCATTTTTATGGAAATTATTGTAATACTGTACTATTTTAATGCATTACAAAAACAGTTCTTTAAATATGATAAATATGATATACTGAGTTTGGATATATGTTTATTCATTCAATGTTTTTTTTTTAAAGTCTGGTTTATACAAGAGGTATAGATGGCAAGTTTATGCTCATTGATCAGGAAGTAAGCATACTGAATTTAGTGGAGTTAATTTTTGTGTAGGTGTATTGCATTGTTAAGCAGCTATACCAATGCCCAATTCAGGGCAGTTAGTACATGCTTCAGATTGTACTGTTTCTTACATACAGATTGTACTGTATGTTTCTCAGTATCATAAACTGACTTCACACTTATCCATTGTCTAATAGAAGCAACTGATAGGGACAGACTATCCCTGCTGAATTCCATATATACTTTATTTTGTCATGAGGTCTCATATGTATTTTACACTTCTTTGCATGTGGTACACTAATGTATGATACCTGTCAAACAATAAGTAAGTAGATTTAAAACTGCTTGACTCAAAATGAATCTCCTTCCTGCCAAAACTTTTGACTTCATTTTCTTTTTATAGTTTTCCACTAGGTTGGTTAAAACAGACAGCCCTGCATGAGGTCAGACAGAGGTCATTTCACTTTCATTACTAAAATATAATTTACAATATGGCAGACCTAAACAGGTTTTAGACTACAGGATTTGTATAATGTAAACCATCTGTTTCTCAACAATACAGTTAATTTCCTGCCATCCCTGCACAGCCAACTGGTTGTTTAAATGCCTTACTGATATATTAATTCACACAGTATTTATCTAAAATTTGTAAATGAATGGAAAAAATAGAATCCTGAGTGTCATTTTCAAATTATAATAAAAGTACACTGCTTCATATTTCCAGCTTTTCTTTCTTAACAATTGTTTGCTTGCCATATTTCTTCAATAAAATTGGAACATTAATAACAGGGATAACAAGAATTTCAATTACGGAGCCATTTTATTTCCTAAGGCCCTGAACAAAGAGCTGCTCCCTCAAATTATTCTATCACCTATGTCTTATATGTGAATGTATACATCCATGTGGGTTACACTGTTGTTCTTTTAAATCCTATATATAAAGTAAAGGTGACATCTTGTATAGTGATAGTTGCATTTGCTTAGGAAACTCTGTAGTTCCATCCTTCCAGTAGCCTTCTTTGGTAGCAGACCTGTAATTGTACAAGAGTCAGTAATAGACCAACACTGTTTCTGACATGTGTTGTTTTCTTTCTAACAGAGCAAAGCTAAAGAACTGCCTCTTTCTGCTGTCCGTTTTATGGAAGAGTTAGGTGAATGTGCTTTTGGCAAAATCTACAAGGGACACCTCTATCTCCCAGGCATGGACCATGCTCAGCTGGTTGCAATAAAGACTCTAAAGGACTGCAACAATCCACAACAGTGGGCAGAGTTCCAGCAAGAAGCTTCTTTGATGGCAGAGTTGCATCATCACAACATTGTTTGCCTTCTTGGGGTTGTGACTCAAGAACAGCCAGTCTGCATGCTCTTTGAGTACATGAACCAAGGGGACCTCCATGAATTTCTCATTATGCGTTCTCCACATTCAGATGTTGGGTGTAGCAGCGATGAGGATGGTACTGTAAAATCCAGCTTAGATCATGGAGATTTCCTGCACATAGCAGTTCAGATTGCCGCAGGGATGGAATACTTAACGAGTCATTTTTTTGTCCATAAGGATCTTGCCGCTCGCAATATTTTAATTGGGGAACAGCTCCATGTGAAGATTTCTGATCTGGGATTGTCAAGAGAGATATACTCAGCAGATTATTACAGAGTTCAAAGTAAATCCCTTTTGCCTATTCGTTGGATGCCCCCAGAGGCAATTTTGTATGGCAAGTTCTCTTCTGATTCAGACATTTGGTCTTTTGGTGTTGTCCTGTGGGAGATTTTCAGCTTTGGTCTCCAGCCCTACTATGGATTTAGCAACCAAGAAGTCATAGACATGGTACGAAAACGGCAACTTTTACCATGTTCTGAAGACTGTCCTCCTAGAATGTACAGTTTGATGACAGAATGCTGGCATGAGCTACCATCACGGAGACCAAGATTTAAAGATATTCATGCCAGGCTGCGCTCTTGGGAGGGGCTGTCAAGTCATACTAGTTCCACTACGCCTTCTGGTGGAAATGCTACAACTCAAACAACTTCTCTGAGTGCGAGCCCAGTTAGCAACCTGAGTAATCCTAGGTACCCAAACTACATGTTCCCAGCACAGGGTATACCACAAGGCCAAATTGCTGGGTTTATTGGCCCACCAATACCTCAAAACCAACGTTTTATTCCTATTAATGGATATCCAATTCCTCCTGGATATGCTGCTTTCCCAGCTGCCCATTATCAGCCTGCAGGTCCAGCACGGGTCATTCAACACTGTCCTCCACCAAAGAGCCGATCACCAAGCAGTGCAAGTGGCTCAACTAGCACTGGTCATGTGACTAGTTTGCCATCTTCAGGATCTAATCAGGATGCAAATATTCCTTTGCTCTCTCATATGTCAATGCCAAATCATCCAAGTGCGATAAGTATAACTGTTTTTGGAAACAAAACTCAAAAACCCTACAAAAATGACTCCAAACAAGCATCTTTATTAGGAGATTCCAATATCCATGGACATAATGAGACTGTGATTTCAGCAGATATGTAATTAAAACAGAGCTTTGTAAATAAAGCTATTTACAATGTGGACTAGAATGTTTTAGAAGAGATTTATATTCAAATATTTTATTAGAGATTCTTCTGGCTGTATAAAGAGATATCTGCAGTAAGTATCTTCTGTGAAGTTTATTTGTGCCTAACAGGATAAAGAGTTATGAAATGGATTTTTTAAACAGTGCGGTTAACACTAAATATCTTGTGAGTACATCTGTTTTGCAAACATTAAGGGGGAAATATTTGTTTGATTTTTTTAAAAGAAGTTTAACTGTGACACATTTTATTTAATCACAGTTCTTTATTCACTGTTTTTTTGTCTCAGAAACCTTATCATTCTAAGCAGTTTATCTGACATTTTTATGAATTAATGTGGTATGTTGGCCAAATATTTAGAGCAATTAATTATACTCTTGTAGAGTGGAAATTTCACTTTTAGTTGATCTTGTGTGAGATGGGAATGTCACAAAAGATATATCTGATTGATTAAGTCAAGGTGCAACCAAACACAGTGAAAAATTTGCTTTCATCCCATTCTGAAAGCACATATCAGGCATTGACTTGACTTGAAGTTTTCCCGTCTAACAGCATCCAGAAAATCGTCTGATGGACGTTTAGTAACTGTCAAAATGAGAAATTTGTATCCGTTTTAGAGAAGAATGTTTGGATTCCGTTTTGAACTTTGATAAGTAAATTATTTTAAGTAAACTGCTTCTATCTAGAGATAAGTGTAAATTCATGCATAAAGTCAAAATACATAATTTTGTGTTAAAACATAACTGAAGAGCAGAGTACTAAAAATAAGATACACTTTAAATTTATACTGGAAGCATCGTAGAAATACATACAATACAATATGATGAGTGGGAAATGATATTTCTTGACTTTGTATCTGTAGTTGCAATAGAATTTTCTGTCTGTTGCTATGCAACCCTATAATTCAATAAAGTGCTATCTTCTAATTTTTTAATAAATGGACAATCAGTTTTCCCAAGAATATTTATTATTTCAGTAAAATAAATAGTTTTTGTATTGTTTCCTTGAAGCAGGAACTCTACATTCCAGTTAGATGTGCAAAACAATTTTCTAGAAATTGTCTATGGTAATTTTTGTATGTCATTTCGAATAATGTGAATTAGAATTAACATTTTACTAGGAAATACGATATTTGTATTACTGAAATTTATTCAGGTATAATCGGTATGGATGATTTTGAAACCACTGTAATATTTGAAAAAATACTGTGTAAATTAGAACTTCTCGGACTTTTTCTATGGTTTGTACACACACAATCTTTCAAAAACTTGACAGTAATTTTTCAAAATCTTTTGCACAAAAATGTTTTTGTTTAGTATAGCAGAATTGAAAAAATACATCCCACTTTTTATTTCTCTGTCTGTTTCTCATTTTTTGTAAATAGATGGGGATGGTTGCAAATATGTCAAGATAATCAGTTACCATTCGGATATATTTGATTGTTTTCAGTGCATCCATTTAATTATTGTATTACTTTATTGATTTGCCCATTAAAGCTGTTGCACTAAGGTAAGCATGGAAATGTAATAACACAGGCTATTTTGGAAAGAAATTAAGTGCATTTTTGTAGAAGAATATTAAACACTGATTATTATGCTGCTGGTTATTAAAACATGGTTTTAATATAAGAGTATACATATTTTCTGGATTGTGATATAAATATACTATCAATTAACCACCACAAAATGGTGGCCTTCCTCATGAGTTTCAGTCAAATGAGAGTATTGTACACTAATAAGAGGAGTATATATATTTGAAACATCTCTAATTTAATTTGTTTCAGCAAGAATATTAAGATAGAAGAGCTAATTAATCAATACATTTATAAACACAATTAAGTCTTACCCCCCCCAATCCTGACAAAGTGACATCTAGTGAATCCTAGTATGAGTGGGCTTCCTTAACAAGTGTTAAGGAAGTGGCAGGCAGAGGTACAGTCCACATCAAAAGCTGTGAAGCAGCCACTATTGTAATTATCGACAATGTCCTCAACTAGCATCATTCATGGATACAGTGGATCCTTTAAAATGGCAGTTTGCCAGCCATCCTGCCACATGGTAGGCCGGAGCCTTGGAGTGGGGGCAGCCAGGAGGACCCAACAGCACTGTCGGGTACTGATAAGGTGTTGAGGCATGGTCAGTTGCTCAAAAATGCTGGGTGCTAACATTGGGCCTAGTTCGCTGTTTCACTTACCTTGTTTGTTGGCATGCCTGATGTGTTGCACTTGGTAGGCATGCCATGAGTGGAACCAGCTGGGGAGAGGATCAGGGCTCTGGGACCAGGGTGTTAGAGGTACTGCAGGGACTGACAGGACTCCTACGAAGAGGAGGCCAGTATCAGGGAAGATGGGAGGAAGGAGGAGGCTGGGGATTCTAAAGAAAGACAGCTGTAGGAAGGAGTTGAGGTGCATGTACAGCAATGCTAGGAGTATGGGTAATAAACAGGAAGAGCTTGAAGCTCTCCTGGGAATAGGAGGGTATGACCTGCTGGGGATCAGGGAAACTTGGTGGGATGAAAGGCAAGACTGGAATGTAAACATAGAGCAGTATCACCTGTTTAGAAAGGACAGGAAGGGAAAGAGGGGTGGGGGTATAGCTTAATATATCAGAGAAGGGATAGGATGCAGTGAGATAGAATGCAGTGCAGATGGAGATCTGGTAGAGGCAGACTAAGGGGTTTTGACAGAAGAACCTGACAGTGGGAGTATGTATATTATCACCCTCCAGGTCAACTTGAGACCCTGGATGATGTCCTGACAGATCGGATTCTAAGGATATATCAGGGGAGGGACAGAGTAATTATGGGAGATTTCAGTCTCTCAGATATTAGTTGGGAGACTCAGCAGTGACAGCCAGAGGGTAACTATTAGTGGGGAATCATCAGGATGGCAGCCAGTGACAAGTGGGATCCCCCAGGACTCTGTCCTGGAGCCAATCCTGTTTAATCTTTTCATCAACAACATGGGAGAAGGGGTGAACAGTCTGCTGATCAAATTCGCAGACGATTCAAAAACCGGGGCAGTGGCCACAACTGAGGATCAGGTACTCAAGATCCAAAAGGATCTGGACAGACTATGGAAGTGGGTAGGAGACAACAGGATGGCGTTCAATGTGGATAAGTGCAAGGTCTTGCACTTGGGGCATAGGAATGGATGTCATAATTACAGGTTAGAGGACAAGTGGCTGGAGAGCCAGGTTAGAGTCAGTGCGTAGGGTCACAAGGTTGATGGCTTGTTTGCAGGGAAAACCATATGAGGCGAGACTGAGGGAACTGGGTCTTTTCAGCCTGGAGAAGAGGAGACTCAGAGGAGATCTGTTGGCAACATACAGGTATGTGAGGGGATGTCAAACAGAGGTGGATAGAGACCTGTTCTCCCCTGCAGAGGAGAACAGGATGCGCTTCAACAGAGCAAAGCTCAGGGAACCAAGGTTCCATTTAGATGCCAGGAAGTACTTCCTGACAGTTAGGACCCCGAGGGTGTGGAGTGGGCTTCCATGGGAGGTGGTGGAGGCCCCATCGGTGAGGGTGTTCAAGGATAGGCTAGGCATGCACATGGTGGGCATGTCGTGAGTGGAGCCAGCTGGAGCCAGGGGTCAGACTAGATGGCCCGGGAGGCCCCTTCTGACTCGCTCTGTTTCTATGTTTCAACCTAAATTGGATAATATGGAAATAATACACTTGCCAAAGAACAATAATTTTGTAAAGACAGATGCCAAGATTGTTCCTGTATGATAGGCACAGAAAAAGAAAATGTCTCATATCTGAAAAACAAGTAGAAAAAGTGAGCATAACAGATCCAGAGAAAAGGATTAAGTGATCACTAAGAATTTCTAGAAAGATCTGAGGAAAAACACTTGGAGCAAGAACCTGAGGCACTCAAAACGGCCGTCACAAAACAACTGGGAAAATAGCAGGAGCTCTTCCTATATCCTGGGGAGGAGGGAGCAAGAGTCCCACCAAAATGAGCTAGCTATGAAAACCTTCCTGAGAACAGGTCCCAGACAGCTGCAGAGCCCATATGTGTGATGCACAGCAAGCACAAAAAAGAATGTAAAATCATCATCATGTCTTTTTTCAGAGAAACAGAATAAAATAGTGAAAATTGTGATACCTTATTAAACCTGAGAAAGGAAATATAAAACTGGAAATAAGGGGCATCGGTAGACAAAACCTTATCTGTTTTAATAAACAGAAACCTTCATTGTTCCCTTGCTTTCACAAAAAAGAAAAACTGTTACTTTTACAAATTAAGCATCTCAAACAAAAATGAAAATTACAGTGCTCAGTGAATATTGCAAAATACTTGGGGCTGACAAAAAATGAATTTATCAGTATGAATTTATCATTGCACGACAAACACGATGGTATTTCAGATTTGCATACTTACCCATCAAATGTCTTGTTTCTGTAGGTATTATGCAGCACATGCTCAGTTCTCATCTCCCCAAGGGTGTCATTCATGTCAGTTCTGCATATTCTGTAGAAAATCTTGCTGTATGCGTTTCTGTCGCTGAACCTAAGAGGAAACTTTTACAGAGCTGTTGTAAGAAAAACAAGCTAAAATATGTAAAATACTGAACAGTCTAGAGTATTGAATAAATGGCAGTTATTAAGAAACTTATTAGGAACACTGTTAATGGCAGTGGTAATTACGGCAGTGGCTAGACTGGGACAAAGTGGAGGCTCTAGAATTCTCTTCCAGGGACCCCCATGCAACCCAGATGGCTGTTCTATTGCTGCTTAATGGCAGTGATAAAGCCCCAATCTGGCCAAGGTCCCCAGTACAGGGAGCAGCTTTATCTTCTTGCCACTGCTAGTAAACACTGCAGTGTTGTGTGAGTGCATGTGAGCACATGTTAGTGTGCATGTATGTATGTACGGCTCTAGCCAACCAAGCAAGACTCATTGTAGCCTTCAGGATCAGTTGTGCAACTCTGGCTTAGCTATCAGAAGAGTTAATATCTTTGTCATGTTCAGTTCACATACCTGTCTATGTGAGAGTTCTTTTAAGTCATCTATCACTACATGTTCTCCTCTGAATGCCTCCCTCATTTCATTCTCCATAGCAATATCATCCTGTGTATATTGGTCAGGGGGACATTGACACATTTCTAGTACTAAATTACTGGGGTGGGGATAGCATTGTGAACTTCCATTCTGTGGAATCAGATTTTAAGCTTTCTCAATTGACTCCATGCCCTCTTTGATGTACAGAGTGACACCTCC